TCTCCAGCCATTATAAACAAACTATGTTCAATATTATCACATTTACCTGTATCTGGTCAAGTTACGTTCAGGTAGCATTATTTTTACAGAAATTACTTCACAATTTTCTTTATCTTTGTACACAAGTTATAGTAGAAATAGTTTATCAATAACAAAAACAAGTTTTCTTTTTTGAGCCAAAAGATATTTTCTAATACTTTGTAGCATGACAGTACCTTGTTTAAAACTTCACAACATATTAAAAATGTTCGACTAAAGAAATTCATTATAAGAAATAACATTGAGAAATGAGAACTGCTTAACAGTTATCACCTGAAGTATATTACAAGGTGTAATACCATAATTAACTCTAGCTGGGGTATAGAGGTCTTGTATATGACATCATTAAACTTTGTTTCTTTCAACAACACCATATCAACACAATATTCAGTAAAGCTTTACATGCTATCAATGGCATAAACATGTCTTTTGGAAAAAAGATATGATTAGAAAACTTTAAGGCTATTCAGTTCCTCAATATATATTTCTTTAAGTACATCACTGAGATAACTTAGAGCAGTATATAACATGATATTAGAATATAAATTTGTCATTTTTCAACAAAAATGAATCTAAGCACTTGATGTCAAATATTGTGAAATACATTATAGGAATGTGTGACTTTGTGACATTAGAATAAGACCCCTATAAATATATAAAAAATGACAACATTTGAAGAATACAAAGAGTTGAGAAAAATAACACATTTAGGAGAAAGACTACACAATGTAATTTTTGTGCAGAACCAGTGATTATATAAACAATAGTTGTTTAAAAAGTGGAAACAATAAGCTTGAGAAATACAGAAAGATGAATCCAGATCTCATGTCCCAAGCTTTGTTTCTACGAGCCCTATTGTCACGTACATTATCATCAGCAAGTTTAATTATCTTAAAAGACTAATTTTAATTGGTTAAATTATTTTCATCAAAAAATATCAGTGAAAAATTAAACATTATTCTTCAAAGTGATGATTTTCAATTTAATCACTCTGACTTTATCAGTGTATAAAAGTTATTAATGTAGAGAAGCATGACAAGGAAAAAACATCCAGTAGAACATAATTATACATATTTAATTAATATGTTTAATAATTCTGAAACTGAATAAGAAAGTACGTATATTAAAAAATGCAAACAACACATTATTATAACACATTTATCATTAGAGATGGACAATTAACTCATCTAATTGATTACCTATGAGCACTGATTGCATTAATTAGTTATGTAATCAATCAAAATTACGAAGAAATTGTTTAATGTCACGAAAATAATTAAATGAAATTAGTATTTAAGATTATTACTATTTTCAATTACTTCAACTATCCGAGTCTTGTGAGAATAATCAATTAGTTGAATATAATTGATTAATGAGCCCAAACATTAATGGGCAAATTCCACAAATTGCCTAGCTCTACTTATCATACAGTTAAAGTTACAACAAGGTAAGGATATCACTTTGAAAAACTTTAATTCAAAAGACACTTAAGTCATTGAGAATGATGGAAAAGTATAAAATAAAAAATAGTATTTTCCTTGTACTTTCACAGAATAAAACAAACACAAAAATCATACGTATCTTTTAATACAATATAACTTGTTTTTTAAGAATAATTAAATTTTGGGAACTAAAATTAAAAGGTGCTCGCTCATACTTGAAAGGACATATTACAGAGCTTGTCATTAAAACAAAATATTAGAAATTTTAATTATTTTGCAATTATGACTTACCTGCAGCCTAAAAGCTCAACATTTACAAATACTTGAGCTAAACACAAGAGTCTATTCAAAGGCAGCTTGTCAGAATGAGTTACTAAGAAGTCTCTTCTCATAACCCAATGTTCATCACTCTCCCACGGTTGGCGATACGACTCCACATCGAAGTTACCACAGTCAGTCATTATCTGAAGAACATTTAAAAAATATTCTTAAATGCCTACTTTGAATTACTGACTTAATCACCATCAATGGGGTACACATTCTGCTTCATATTGACTAACTTTATGGTTTTGATTGTTCGATACTCAGCGTAAATAATTGACCAAAAAGATTTGGTTAAATCATTCATTTTCTACATGAGGGTCCCCATCAGTAATTAATGAGATTTAGTGCAATACTAATGGTATTTCTGTCACATACAGTTAGGGATGGTGTAACCAACAAAGTCACATACCCCCAAAACCAATTTGGTGCATACGAGCCTAATTAGTAATACTAGGGTTAATACACTAAATTATTGAAATTATTCTTTGTTAAATACATTCTATATATAATTTCAATTATAAGAACCCACAAGTGAAAGCAAATAAGCATACGTTATATTTCAACCACATGGTGTGAACCAGATTAAGCAAGTGAACTGTATTATCATCATTTAGAGACCAGATTTTCAAGGTAAGAATTAATAATATAATATTTTTACTTTTAAGTGATTATTTTATTTGGATTAATGTGTATCAATTTTTGTGTGACATGCATGCTTTAATTTTTGTGTATTGAAAAACAAATCCATTCGAATTTGGATGCACTTTACAAACTAACAAACAACTTATTTTTTAAAATTCTACACTTGAGATTCAATCAGGAAAACACAAATACAGCAATATATGTAATTGATATTTTACCTATATGAAATTAAGACTAACTGGTCTATCATTTCCAGAGCTATGCTTATCTCTTTAATAGGAGTAACATAAACAATTCTCCAACTCTCTGGCACCTGTCCACTGTCTACTTACCAAAAATGAGAAATAAAACCTCACATATATAATCTCCAACACCATTTAAAACCCTGGAAAAACAGTCTTGTCTTGATGCTTATTCCTAATCTCTCAGTCTTTCTTTTTACTACCAAAATATTAGTATCTACATGATTAAGGTCATGATTATTGCAAGATCATCTCTTTTGTAAAAACAGAATAGAACATAGAAAAGTTCAACCATCTCAGAAAATTTCAACAAAAACCTTGCCAACAGCATTTTTTAAGGGACCAATCCCTACTCAATAGCATGAATGAATAATCTCAACACAGTGGTGGATAAGTCACCCAAGCTATCAAAAGTAGTTCTCTGTTGCTAGAAGTTAGGCTAATAGAATTTTAGAATGTATTTATAGTCGTAATGAATAAAAGTTAAAAAATGGGTAAATTATCTCTTTATACAAATCACTAGTTATGACTCACTTGAATAATGTGTATAATTTTAGTCTTCCTATCCTAGGATACTGATTTAATGGAAAGGGTTCAGAGAAGAGCTACTAGGATGACTCCAGTTCAGGGATGGAAGTGTTATCTAGGAAGGAAAGGTTAAGATCTTCTAATCTACTTTACATGAGAAAGGATGGGCAAGACGTGTTCTTACTAAAGTTTACAAGATTATCTGAAAGGTAAATAGGATAAAAAACATAATTTCTTTGTGCTCTAATCTTAAGATGAGAGAACCAAGTCAGGACTTGGAAAAGACAAGCCTTGCTATAGTTAAAACAGTTATATTTTTCTAACATTAGTAACAGTAACAGGATAATACTTACCTTGGAAGCAGCAGGGGTCAGTGTTTTACAGGAGTTTAAAATAAGAGCAATCGAAAATTTCCTGAGAGTGATAAATAATGAGTGCATAAAAATTTTGACTCTTTCTCAAGGATGTGTGTACAAGAATAGCCTCGAACTTTGTAGAACCAAATGGTTCCTTGCTGTTAGTGTTACAAGTTATAATTATATTCAGCAAGGCTTAGTTAACTTGTACTCAACATGTTTAAACTAATTATTGTTATACTATAGTGAGTATAAATAAATCCTGAAACCCTATTTCTGTTATGAGAATTACTGTTACCTGGCACTAACAATTGAGCATTGTGGTTTTGTCAACTCTAATTACAAATTCAAATCGAAACCATACGTTTTAGCCCTAACAGTAATTGTACTAGTATTAATAAGTAGTAGTACTACTACTAGTACTAGGGTTAAACTCAGTCTTATCACTAAATAGTAAATACTAAAACAGTGAAATTTATTAATTAATTACTATCTAGTTAATAAATGTCAGGGTACTATTATTATATTAGTATTTCAAACTATTGTTTATAAAGAAACTTTCGCTTAAAACTAAATTCAACTGGCCTTACATTCAATAAATACTAGAAAAAGAATAATCATACCAAAATCCTCCGAGAAGCGTTAGATTATTGACACAACGACAATACCTTCAGTTGCCAGACACTTCTTTCGAAATCCCCCTACCGGTCAATAAAAAAATCACCCATTTTTAGCGTTTTATCAACTTGCCCCCATTAACATGCGTATAGTGTATTGTTGAAAAATTAGAATAAAAAAACAACAACACATTACTATCATTTTCTTACAGACTACTATTAGGCGTATTTTACATGGATTAAAATATGAATGAATAAATAAAATTATCAGAGCAAAATTATTATATATATGTAGATATTACCAGAACTCTGCAAACTTAGGCTTCCATGAAAAGAGTTTCTATGGAGTTCTTTTCCTTATAACAATGTCGATATTATACATTTTACTCTTGGACTTTTGAAGCATTTTTGGTGTTGTCTGAAAGCTCCTCTAGACCTGTCCAAGCAGTATTTAACGCTTTTTTCTGTTAACATAACATAACGTATTGGGACAACATTGGACCTATTAGTCCATCTTAGCTGTTCCATCCTTTAAATTCAAACTATAAATAAATTAATTTAAAAAAAAGTCTTGCATCCAGCCCTTATCATTCATATACTTATAAAGTTTAATCTTAAACTCACTTAAATTGACTGCCTCAACCGGTCTTTTATGCCATTTACATGGCTATATAACTATTTCAAGATGTTAAGGCAAATAATAAATATAAATAACAGATTAATATCAGACACGTTAGAACTCATTCAACATATAAAATGCAACTTTCTGATGTACAATAACAACAAAAATCCAGCTTTCCTTCTTTCTTTCATATTTTCCAATAGCTCCTTTCACTGTATGTAAGAGATTGTAAGAACAGACGAGAAAATTAACATACCGTTGCTAGAATAAACACATAAACAAAAGTTATAATTTTAATGAAAAAATGACTTTGTTCGAAACATTTACAAAATTCTAGAAACACAGTAACCAAAAAAAAATAAAAAATAATAATAATAACAAAAAATCTAAGAGAAAAAAGCGTTGCACAAGAAAATTTACAATATCAAATACCACACGAATACTAAACAAACTACTATTGTTTTCTTAAGAACAAACTAGATATTATTTAGAAAGTGTGTGCCGACTTTCTTGCAGTTAAGTTAATACTTTAAGTATAAGAACAAACAAACGTGGATGACATGATGTTATCCATACGGTTCTGGTAAGATTAATATCATTCTAATGTCGTATTTATGGTAAAAATTAAAGCCTATGTAATTGGCTACTGCATTATTTTCTGTTAGAAAGCAGGTTAAATGAATGAAATATTTCTAAGGATCTAATTGCAGAGAACATACAATTTCCACGTTTTTTTCTGAATCCATTAATTTAAATTATATTTTTTTCATTGATTTCATCCCCCTCCAAAAAAAAAAACAAATCTGGCAACCCTGTCCAGAAACCGACTGGAAGTAAGTTCCTTGTTTCTGATTCAAAACTGGTAATTACAAACAGAAAATATATCGCTAGAGGCAGCGTGGGTCAAAGGGAACACGTATTTACCAACATCTAATTATGTAGTATTCCCCTTTCTAAATACTTTCTGATTGGATCAAACTGTAGTTCTAATATAGATCGCGCAATCTGCCAATGGTACATAATGTTAAATCCTAAGCTAAATAATGCATATGTGACCAATGAGTAGAAGAAATGATCTCGGTAAGCAAAGGATCACAACACCAAAAGATTTAAAAAAAAAAACATTTATTGCCAACTCCTCGTATTTTTAGTGCATTGCCTCAATGTTCGTGTTTCTCAAGAGTTTCCAACAGTTATCATCTGAGCTGTGTATTTGGAGAGATGAAACAAATGTATGTTAAAACGAGATATACAACTTCCTGTAGACTATCTTGGATTTTACTGGTGACGTTTTGATTTTAACTGCTTACTTATACCTTTATTTTAGTTTCGAGAATATTTTGAAATGTTCTGGGTTCCTTTGTTTAACGTCAGGAAATGTTAGACACGATGATCTTGGAACGTCTGTTAATAACAAAATATATAACTCTTTTTACGAAGAGCATAATATATTGCTATTTCCCCAACAACAAATATTAGAAGTTCTAATACGGCAAATGATATTTAGTGTATCTATCGGAAGGGCACGTACATATATTTTCAATTACATTTGTCTGTGCAAATAATTCACTGCGATTCTCCCTAACCAAAAAAAACTGTTGATATTTCGATGAAAATAGTCTAAATGTTGAAAACAATGGCGATTTCAAAAATATTAGCGTATTTACCTAGATATATGTATTCGACAACGTAAAAGTATTGAATAATGACTTCAAAAATAGAAATATTCAGACATTTAAACTTACTGAATAATGGCATGCTAAGAAACGTTGCAAAAAATTATACTAAGCAACGTAAAATTTATTGAATAATGACGTACGAAAATGTTGTGAAAGCAATGCTGAAATTCGCAGTAAATGACATTTAACTTCATTCAGAAGTGAAGATAACGCTATAAAGTTGTTTGAATATAAACAGTGGTTCCTGAGACTATAGAATGAGTCGTACATAATTAGATCTCTTTATGGTTTTATTTACTTTCTTACATGAATAGGAACTACATGGAATACAGTAACAAGACCTTTCGTTCGAAGGTACTGATTAATCATGATGACTTGGTAAACATGTGCATGAATTAATGGGCTTAATGAAAACTATATAGACAATGTCAACACTCCTAAACTTGCCTTACCGATATTGTCTCGAAAAGTGACAACAATAGACCTTAGGTCGTGAAGTACAAAACACTTACATACGCAATGATTTGCTCAAATAAGCTACTTTAAGGCTTAGTATCTACGGTATTATTCAAATAGGTTGAAGCCATTCTTAATTTATGGATTTACTGAAATTTTAGTTAAACTCTAATGTTGTTCCATTTTCCTAAGAATAGCCAGAAAAAATAACAAAGAGAAATAAAAAACACAAACTAAAGAGTCATTATGATGTGTGGTTATTGTTAATACCTAATATGGAATCAAATTTAACTCATATTTTGTTTTAAAAACAGTCGTTAAAGAGTTCTGGCTGTTTAGTGAACGTTTGGTAATTATAACATAATATTAAATGACAACAAAGGATCTTTCAGTCCATCTAGGTCGTCCCTCTACTGAATTAAATCAAACATGAAAAAAACTCATAGCCAGCCCTAATCATCAAGTTTCTGTTAAGCTTTCTTAGATTTACTGCATCCACCACAGTGAAAGGAAACCCGTTACAAACATAAAGCTGTCTTAGCTGATGACGACTCCTACCCTGCCAAAAGTTATATTTACGTTCCATAGTCCTTCCATTCTCATCATTATATGTGAAAAAAAAAGATGATGCATCAACATTACCAGTTCCCTTAACAGTTTGAAACACCTCAATCAGGTTACTTAAACTCTTCAAGTTTTTATTTATCAGTGGAAAAACAAGTTTAGATATTTTAACCTATCTGCGCATGACAGTATTTCCATCCCATGTATCATGCTAGTAGCCCCTCTCTGAACCCTCTCCAATAGACTGATGTTATTAGATTCCCGTCCTGAAGGTTTAAATATGGGTGTTAACTAAGTTCTCTATCTTAGTTTTGTTTTGTAAATGGGAAATGCCTTTATTTTATTCATTAGAAAGAATACGATCAAATCATATCTTGTGTACGATGGATTCGAACCTATTATAATAAGATAAATAAATATTAGGTTGTCAAGAAATTAATGTCGCCTTTTGGAACACTTTCATTAACCACCCCCCCAAAAACGTACATCACGTATAATAGTTAAACGAACCCCCCAAACTTCACGTTAGGATAGCCTATATAATGTGTAAAGTTTAGTATACTGTAATCCCTTATAGTGATGGCACACGACGAGACACACATTCGGCATGTAATGCTGTTTGAATATAAGAAGAGAAACAACGTATCTGTAGCCACAAAGAATATCAAAGAAGTTTATGGAAATGTTTTGAATGTTCGTAAATGTCAACGATGGTTCAGCAAATTTCGTTCAGTTAACTTGAGCCTTAAAAACTGTGATGGCAGGGGCTGAGATGTTGGAATTGATATGGATGCTCTGTAGACGCTTGTTGAGTCTAACCCAAGGCAACAGACTCGTGTAATGGCCCTGAAATTGCATGTCTCTCATGAAACAATACATTAACATCTAAAGAA